TGAACACGGCATCTATGGTTTGGTCAAGTTTGGCCATTAATGTCGGTAGTCAATTAGGTCACCAACCCTCCGTGCAGATATTTTCGTTGCTTCCAGAGTTGGAACTTGAAGCTTGAAGGGATTGAAACAATCACAGGTGCTCAGGAAGTGACAGTTCACATCACGCTAATTCTAACACATTCAATGTTATCGATGAATAGTGGATGAAATCGGAAAATATCGAAAATCGCCCGGTAATTCACAACGAATCGAATTTATTCAAAACAAATTCGTCATTCCGTATCGAGCGCTGAGGCAGTTGACAGCATCCTGGTCTCTTCATACGGCACTCGTTTTTTAACGCGTTTCCATCGCTATCGTTCTTAAAAAAAAAAGTGTTCAGGTGAATCGAGTACGGTTTTCGGAAGCAGCTATATCGTAAGCTGAGTCTTACGTTTAGACTGTTCACCTTTACCCCAGTGATCGATCATCATCAAATCATCACCATCATCATCGCATCATTTCCGTCAATAGCCGCATCGTAGCAGCAGCAAACGGAATACCAAGCTGCACCCAATGAGGTACAGAGAGAGGTGGCGCAGATCGTGAAATAGGGTTGTATTAGTAAACCAAAAAATCAACGTAAACGCAAGTAGTGACGTCACTACTTGCGTGTACTTGCGTGTATCGTACAGTGGTTGTGTGAGTGATTGCTTCACCTCGGTAATCCAGCTCATTGAGCTGCACCGGCTGATAGGTTGTTTACACAACCGGCAATACATTTTGCAAGCCCATTGCCTCCCTATTTTAGTTTTGTTTTGCCTCGTGGCCTGTGGCGCGTGGCTCTGTCTCTCACCCCAGGTAAGGGAGTATGGTTCATAGTGAGACAACTTGTTGCAACTAGATATAAGTTTTTTTTTCCGATTGTTTTTTCTCTTTAATTTGCTACTAATTAAAATTAATAAATTGTAAAAGGCACCGCTTTTACGCAACACTTATGGCATCTGCCGATGCCAACGTTGCGCGAACCAGGTATTACCAGGTATTATGGGTTGTCTTTTTTCGGCCTAAAAATAAACCCTTGAAAGCTCTCGACATTTTGAGAGACTTGCTGCGTAAGTATCCGGGAGTCTTGGTACATAAGGAGAGATTCAACAAACTGCGTGTAGAAGCATCGAATTATGATGTAGCAAGTAAAATTACTGATCACGAGTTGTTTAGTGTTGAGTACAACATCTACATCCCTTCTAGAGATGTGGAGATAGAAGGCGTGGTATCCGACGCGAGTCTGTCTGTCGAGGAATTGAAACGTGCCTCGGGTTGTTTTAAAAACAGAAAAGTCACAATCGATCTTGTAAAGATACTGGATGTTAGGCAACTGCACTCAGTATCTTTACAAGATGGCAAGAAAGTTTATCAGCATTCAGACTCATTTCCGGTGACCTTTGCTGGTTCAGTTCTCCCAAACTTTGTCAAAGTTGATGCTCGATTGATCGACGCATCCCGAAATTACGGATCACGGAACTTGAGAAAAGAAAATTAATTGGGCACAAACGTCTAGAGAACCCTTCGTGGTCTGCCTCAAAAATAGCAAAAGTGTTGAAATTCCTAAAGTCAACGGTGAGTCTTGTAATCAAACGTTACAAGGATACTCTGAGTGTGGATGAGCACAGCGCATCTATAATAAAAGTGGCACTAGGGACAAAGAGCTGAGGAGAAAGGTGTTGAGGTACGTGAAAAGCAACCCAGGTGTCTCCATACGTGATTTGGCAAAGAAATACGATTCCAACTTTTCTACCGTGCGTAACATTCTTTCAAGAGAAGGATATAAGTCTTTTTGTGCCAGTAAACATCCGAATCGCTCCCTGAAACAAAATTTAGTGGCCAAAAAGCGAGCACGATTACTATACAAACAAGTTTTGACGAAATTTGATGACTGTATTTTAATGGATGATGAAACATATGTCAAAATGGATTATAAACAAATCCCCGGACGAAAATTTTATCTGGCAACTGGTCGTGGGGATGTCCCTTCCAGGCATAAATTTGTCTTTTCTGATAAGTTTGCTCGAAACCTAATGATTTGGCAAGGAATTTTCAGTTGAGGCCTTAAAACCAAGGTTTTCATCACATCTCACACAATTACGTCGAAGGTTTACATTCAAGAGTGTCTGAAAAAGCGAATTTTACCCTTCATTCGGCAACACAAGACCAACGTTATGTTTTGGCCGAATCTAGCCAGCTGCCACTACTCTGAGGAGGTACTAGAATGGTATGCTGCAAACAATGTTAATTTCGTTGCCAAAGAGATTAATCCTCCGAATAACCCTGAGTTCAGACCGATCGAAAAATATTGGGCAATTGCCAAGCGAAAACTTCGAGGATGCGGTGAAGAAGTGACAAATGCAGAACAAGTACGTTCAAAGTGGAATAAGTTCGCCGGTACAGTGTCACGAGCGACTGTGCAGATCATGATGGCATCGATCACAAGTAAAGTGCGACAGTTCGTTCGAAACGGTGAAATGTAATAACTTGTTATGTATCGTTTGAAAGCTGAATAAATACCCTTTTGTTTGACATGTTGATCAACCGTGTATGTTGTTTAATTCTTGAGTTATGATCACTTGAATGCGTCCAAATTTACTTTGAATCGGGCCTTATTATTCAATTTGACTAATTTTCAATTTCAGCCTCTCAAACCGTTACCCCGCAAGTGAAACACTGAAAAGTAATCATTTTTTATTCATACGGCCTTCATTGCAAATCTTTGCTTAATATATAACATAATCATCTGACGGCTGATCAAATTCAAGAGTAAATTTGCATTCATATTTCGAGCTTATTTTGTACATAGTCTGTTAAAAGATGGTATTTGGGTATTTGATCTCATTTCCGTCCTACTAAGCACATCCCGCACTTTAACTCTCTTTTTTGAAAGGGTTTGAACAAAACATGGAATGTTTTCATCAAAAATAACTTCTAAATGTATGCACCTTTCCATACGTACCGTTGGATTTGATAAAGAGTCAAACATTGTTGAGATATTAGTAAAAATCTAACACTGCTTCTTGATTCTAAATTTGTCCCACGAGTTTCAATTCCGTCCTAACGCATTGAAACGCCATTAGATTTTCCTTGTCCTACGGATGATGGTAGAAAAGGTGGATTCGCTAGGAGCGCTTCTTTTGTTTTGAGAACAATGAGTGTAAATATTCAAACAATACGCTCGAATAGGCTTTGTGTTGTGGCTTATGAACTATTCGATCGGAACAAACGTATTTATTGATTTGTGCGAATGGAAATTGGTGATTACGACGAAGTAGCGCTCTTCTCTATTGAGCATATTGGACAGAACAGATGAACATGTTTTTGGAGCCGAGTTATTAACGAAAAAGATAGTCGACGAAGAGAATCGAGCAGTGTAGATTGGTCTATTTGAATGTTTAAAGCAAGGCCGGCCTAAAAACATGTTTAAATATATCTATTCCCAGATATTTCACTGGGTTTGACCAGAAAATTGGAACTCCGTTCATAGTGACTTTGTGATTACTACTAGGCTTCAAAAAGGGAAAATTATAAGTTGAGTTTTGGAAGCGTTAGAAGAAATCCAAGTCCCCGGCAATGGGGGTGACCCCGGCGTAAGTGGGTAGCATCCACACCTCTCACGCCAAAGTCACGAGTTCAAATCTCACCCCGGGCAAGCCACGAATGACCCAAGAGTGTTAAAGTGACAATAATTAAAAAAAAAAGTTCCCGGCAAGGTGACAGATAACCTTAGTTTCACGTACCAACTTTCAAATAGTAGATGTCGCCACATAACGTAAACAAAGGTATTGTTCTTCACCGGCGCAACGGTATTTCTTTATATGAAACCAATTTTTTGCTTCACTATGTGTGGATGTCAAACAACGGGCAAGCATGCCATATGAAAAGAGCGAATTTATGATTTTCGTAGTGAAATGAAATAAATCCATACAAATTGAACGGATGGATTGAGTTTTATATTCTTATATCATTGAATGGCAATAAAAATACTTTAGTTTCTTAGTCATTTCATCAAGTTATTAACGAAAGATATAGTCGATGATGAGAAGCAATCATTGTAGAAAACGTTTTTATGCAGGTCTATTTGAAAAGTGACACAAAATATATCAAAGTTATCCCGGTTTACAGTTCCTATTTTTATTTCATGTGTGCTAGAATTTGAAAATTAATATCAAACCATAAGGGGCAACGCAATTAAAAATAGATCAGGGGCCCAAGGGTGCTTACACTGGCCCTGCATGAAGGTGCGTTACGAAGCATTGTGCTTGATCACTTCAAATAAACGAAGTGTTTATCCTGCACTTTACGTTTAGCAAACACAACAAGTATGGCACTGGGTTGAACATGTAGGTAGAAACTGGCCTATTGAAGTTAAAGATAAGAGAGAAGCTCTTCGAATTTATATCTTGTTCACTATTTAAATAATTCTGTTCATCATTTGAAGCAATCTTTACACTCCACATTATTTCAACAATTCATCACTGTAAAATGGTCCGTACATCAAATTTTCTTAAGGAATTGAGAATCGTACAAAGCAGAAACAAACGTCAAATTACCTCTCTCTGCAAACTGTATTTAACCACTGAATACTAGACCTTTCTGAAAGGCCTGGTTCAGCCTGGTTGGAACATTCTCAATCTGTTATATTGATTGAAGTATCACCTCTGAACTCTGATAATTACCAATCAGGGTGTGCTGCGAGAATTCCCAGCGAATATCGTTTGCAAAATTCCGTCATGCCATAGATAATAGAATAAAGTACAAGGACATCACTGTGAGGGCTCCTCTCCCAAACTCTGATAACTATTCAATTATTTACATTTGTCTCTTTGTGTCTGTAACGACGCTACTGTGTCACTTGGACCGTTTGTAAATACGACCGACTGCTACTTGTATGCAAAACAAAAACAAAAGAGCATCACACATTTTCTGCATGTGCAGTGCATTTCCTTGATTGTAACACCATATATACCTACCAACGGGTTCCATTGCATAAGTATAAATGAAACTCAAACATATGCACGCGGACGTGACAGCGTGAGTGTTTACTTTCACTGGCAGAAGAAAACTCGTTACACTATATTGGCACACACTAGCGAAAATTAATTGTTCCTATGTGAAAGCTTTAACGGAGCGCCACCGAGAATTATGTCAAGTTCACGTACTGCAAAAACAGTTAAAGCGAACTCATCATTACCGGGTATTGTGCTGTGGGTGATTCTGCTGAAGGGGCGTGGATTCTCGTTGATAGTGTCCTCCACGCGCACTGGCAAACGGTGCAACTGCGTCGGTTCGCGAACCGATGAAAACTAAACTGAGCAATATCAAACATTTTTGCACGTTATTGTAGATTGAAGTTTGAGAGGAATAGGGTTGCTAAATTGAAATGAATGTTAGTTTGGTGAATCATTCAGTTTGGACTTGGATTGACCAAAATTAGGATTCTCACTGTTCACAATAAGTTTTGAGCTGTTTGTTAAGCGGCCGGGCCGTGCAGAATTTGCGAAGGTACGAGGTAGTCAGTCAGAGTAGTTGTCACGATGTAATGTGAATTGCGCATTAAGTTGTGAAAACCATCAAAATGAAAATCACGTGTTTCGAACCTCAGCTTGGCAACTCGGTAAATTTATTTACTCTCATTCTCAGTATTGCACGAGTAGTAACCGTGTTTTATACTCTCTGTTTTCTATACGGGGCGATCCTTTACATACGACACGCTCTAAGGGGGTCTGTGGGGTTTGGAAATCTGTGTCATTTAATCCATTAGGAAAAACGTGACGAAAGAGGGTGAGTGGTTTAGCTTTTCCTGAATTTCATGTGACGTACTCAATGCTTTCTCCCTACCGTACTTACCTGTGCTGCCGCTCATGGCAATTCCGTCCCATAGCACAAATATTCACGATTAGCTACCATTTCCAGTGAAAATAGCATGGTTGACCAGAACGCAAATAGGACCAATTTGCAATGAGCAGCAGTACCTCATTTCTTCAGACAGCCGGTTATTGTGTAGCTCATGTTGACCAATTTAATTTATGAATTTCCGCATTTGTATATCATTGCAATTAGATACAGGTTTTGACTATTGCATAACGTTATCAGTAGTTAGTTAGTTAACCAGCCTCTTACAATCAATTCTGCGAAACCATTGACTTTATGTTGTGTTCTCGAAGAGAAGGAAACTAGTTTTAGGTTTAAGGGCTAATTTCGGAGAACTTCGAGATTTGGGCGTAATTATTATTATTATCTCTATTTAGGAGATTTTCAGCCGCAGAAGAAATTTGAGCGTAATTGCTTTTGTAAACAAATACGTCAATCGCTGATTTCTTGCGAATAAAAGCTCAATCTCGCGAACAAACTCTTCCAAATGACAGAAGAATCAATTTTCTACATGATCTACGGTGATTGAAGTGTTTGTTTACAAAAGCAATTACGCCCAAATCTCAAATCACTCCGGAATTATATTTCGACTTGTCTCTTCGGTGGTTGGAACTAAACTAACAAAATATTTTCAGTTTGTTACATTCGTACCATGGCTACAAATCATGGCCTACCAGGCAACATATTTTTCTGATGTATACGCCGATGGTACATCTCCCTTTTTTCCAAAAGAGATCGTAGGGTGCCAGCCGCTGGAAGTCTACGGGTTCTTTCTTCACGCTGTTGTACTGGTTCTTGAATATTCACACTGTTAGCAGGAACAACAGATTCGTCATCCGTCATTACATCATCGGGCTCGTCATCATCAGGAATCAGTTCATCATCTGGAATTGGTTCTTCTATCAGCACTGCTGGGACCAACGGTTTCGGAGCTTGCAGGTGGAACTCGTCTACTAGCAAGGCCAAGGGAAGTTGATTGCGTGGATTTGGCGATTGATCGGCATCATTTTCATCCAGCTATCGTTGTTTTAGCTGGTTGGTGTGTGCTCGAATCAAGCGTCCATGTTCGAGCAAAACAGTGTAGTTCACTTTGCCCTTGCGCTCGACTACCTGTCCTGGAATCCAATCGATTGTGTTACGACGCTGGACCTGAGCGTAGACCAAATCATCCGGATCGAATGATTTCTTCACTGCGCCGTCTGTTGAATTCAGTGTTCTGCTTCTTGTTCTCCAAGGTTGTACTCTGAACACAGGGCTTCAATAGGTCCAGCGTTGTTCGTATTGGACTTCCTAAAAATAGATGGACAGGTGTCTTACCATCCGGAGCGCTTCTATTTGGAGTTGACCGGAAAACTGAGAGGAACTTCTGGTGATGCTGGAATGTTACCATGGTTTCCCCTTCGGTGTGTTTCTTCAATCCTCTCTTAAGGGTGTCGACAAAGCATTCAGCTTGCCCATTCGATTGTGGGTGGTAAGGGGCTGTCGTCAGGTGGTGGATCCCATGTTCTTCACAGAATTGCTTGAATCGAGCACTTACAAACTGGGTACCGTTGTCCGAAACGAGGGTGTGTGGATTGCCGTACCTTGCGAAAGTTTCTTGCAGAATTTCCAATATCGCTGTAGTAGTTGTACTGTTGGACCTGAAGATTTCCGGCCACTTTGAATACTCGTCGACCACGACGAGGTAGTCATAACCATCAACTGGACCTGCGTAGTCGATTTGGATCCTCTCCCACGGTTTCGTTGGTAATAATTCAGGGGCGACACTGGCGCACAAACGTTTCAACATCGTCGTCGATGTTGGGCCAGTAAACGAAAATTCTTGTGAGTGACTTCATTCGGTCTATTCCGGGGTGTCCACGGTGAAGTTGTCGGATGATGCGCTTGCGGAATCGTTCTGGAACTACAACTCTGTCAGCGAACATGTCGCAGTTTTGGGTGACCTGGAAGCTCTCTCGTCGGGAATAGAACTGACGAACAGATGTATCCGGTAGCTCGCTTACAGTGTTTGGCCAGCCATTGCGGATGTAGTTGATTACCTCTGGTAGGACCGGGTCGTCTTGCGTTTCCTTGGAGATCATATCGGATGTGACCGGCAAGCTGGATATTGAGTTTGCGAGAATTTCCTTCACGTCAGATTCCGTTTGGAGAGCTGTGACAGCTCATCAAGCGGGACAACACGTCGGCATGTCCAAAACTAGCCGTTGGGATGAACTGGATGTCGAAATCATACAGCAGCATCGTTAGCGCCCAACGCTGAAGACGATTGGCGGTGTAAACGGGAATGCCGTTCTTGCTGCCGAAAATTTTAAGGAGTGGTTTGTGGTCGGTCTGCAGCACGAATTTTCGTCCGAATATCATCTTGTGAAAACGGGTGACAGCAAATACCAACGCGAACGCTTCCTTCTCAATTTGACCAATATTTTTCTTTTGCAGGTGTCAACGACCTCGAAACGTGAGCGACGGCTTTGACGGAGCCGTTGGAGAAGCGATGTAGGATTACAGCGCCCAAACCATTCTTGGAAGCGTCTCCAGCGACGATGGTTTCCTTGTTGGGGTCGAAATGAGTCAGCAGGAGATCGGAGACCAGGATGGTTTTGAAATGGTCAAACGACTTTTGGCAGTCCGTCATCTGGCAAACGAATCGTCCGTAATAGTTGATCGCACCAAGGTACGAACGTAGTTGCGATACATTCATCGGTGGTAGCATCTTGGAGATAGCATTGGTTTTAGCAGGATCTGGGCGGAGACCATCTTTATCGATTAGGTGACCCAGAAACTTGATCCGCGGAAGAGAGAACCGGCACTTCTCGATGCGTAAGAGGAAGCCATACTCACGAATCCGGTGAAGCACAGCGTTCAGGCTGCGATCATGACCCTGTTGAGATTTTCCGGCGATCAAGATGTCATCCAGGTATGGCTTGACACCTGGAATGCCAGCAACCATACTGTCAATGATCCTCTGGAACGCTCCAGGCGCAGGTTTGACGCTTGGTGGCAATCGATTGTACTGGAACAGTTCTTTATGAGTGTTTATATTGAGCAGCATACGAGATAATTGATCAACCTCGACCTGCAGGTAGGCATCCGATAAATCGATGTTGGAGAAAAAACGGCATCTGGCTGAGACCTGTAGAGTAGTCACCACAAATGCGTACGGAGACATCGGACTTGCGAACCACAACTATGGGAGCAGCCCAATCGGAGAACTTGACTGGTGAAATGATGCCGTTGTCTTGAAGCCTTTGGAGCTCAGCATCAACCTTCAGAAGTGCAGCGTAGGCAACCGGTCTCTTAGGGACATACGCAGGACGAGAATCTGGCTTCCGGTAGAGCGTTACCTGTGCTTTTGTGCAGCATCCGAGCGAGGTCTGGAACACTTCAGGAAACTTGAGTTGCGAGGATTGCATGGTTGCGTTTGAGTTGTGCTGTATGCAGGCATGGAAAATCATTTACATTCATTTCATGAAAGTTGTTGTAGTTAATAACAAAACCTATAAAAATTCTATACATAATTTTGCGGAATGCTGTTGATGAAAAAAGTTAGAGCCAAATGAATGTAAATGAATGCACGAAATGAATGCAAATGATTTTCGATGCCTGGCTGTATGGCGTTCACTAGTGAGTTGAATGGGATAGACCAGAGATCGAACTGATCGATACCGAGAACGTTGAGATCCGGGTTTCGGCGTTTGAACTCACCCAGGATGTCCATATTGTCCATGCTATCACCTGATGCACTCACGGCGATGACTTTCGTAGAATTGATGACAGGCTTACCCACGGCAATCCAAGTCTGCTTGGAAATAATGGTGATTTTGGAAGCACAATCGAGCTGCAATGTCGCTGTTGAGCCGTTGCTTTCCATCGTGGCATACTTTCGGTCTTTCGTTAGGTCGATTTGTTTGACCGAGATACCCTTAGACTTGACGAAGTCTTTAGGTTTCGGTTTATCGACCTTCTTTTCGGATGATGAGCAGTAACCTTCCATGTGGCCCTTCCGCTTGCAGTTCACACAGGTATGAGACTGGTTTGGACACTCCTTCACATTGTGTAAAACCCCGCAGAACCAGCAAGGCGTTTTTGGTAATTTCTCCTTCCTACTTGTTAAATGTCGAGATATTGCATTAACGATAGATCTATCTGAGCAACCTTTCTCGATCATCTTCTTATCCCATCCTCGTCGCCAAAATATGTTGTGTTCTCGAAGAGAAGGAAGCTAGTTTTAGGTTTAAGGGCTAATTATATTTTGACTTGTCTCTTCGGTGGTTGGAACTAAACTAACAAAATATTTTCAGTTTGTTACTTTCGTACCATGGCTACAAATCATGGCCAACCAGGCAACATATTCACTTTTCAATATTTCTCGACTACTTTTTTCGAAGGGACGTATCAACTTTTGTAAACAATGCATTTGATCGTCGATTTGACGTAACTGGTAGCTCGCACATGCTAACACTTTCATCAGAAAGGGGAGATTTACCCCTACATGATAGTAGTGTTAGTATGCGTAGTACATCCCTTCGAAAAAGTAGTCGAGATTTTGACTTCATACGGATTTATAGGGGTTGTTCATTAACTACGTAGACAGTTTTTTTTATTCTTGACCCCCCCCCCCCCTAGCTGCGTAGACAATTGTCCATACAAAAATAATAATTGTGTATGGGCCGTGGATAGTTGCCAACCCCCCCAGTGTATACGTAGTTTATGGACAGCCCCTAAGAAGAAAAATAAGAAAGCAGACACTGCTTAATTGTTATTCATGACAAAATTGTACTTTTTGAAATTTAAATCAATCTGCATTGAATGGTCATCATTTATCAATTGAAATACAAGATTTAAAAAATGCAAAATATTTGTATTTAATTAAAAAAAAAGGTGTCAAAAAATATATCCGGAATGACCACGTACTATTCTAAAATGAACTATTCTACCGATTTCGCTTCAACCTTAGAGCTAAACTGCCATACAAAGCCACGTGCAGAACAACTATCCACGTCAGCAACCCGACAACGTCGACCGTAAAGTTATTCTCCTCCATATCGAAGCTTTCCAGAAATTTGCTCACCTTACCAAAGTAGCAAAACTTCTCACAGGGGATGTTCTCCCGGTCGAACCCGTAGATCGCTTGCATGGACCCCTCGAAAGCGTACCGAAAGTAGCCCAGGTAAGTGAACGGAATCAGGAAGCTGAACATTTCCCGAAACCGGACGAAGAAACCGCAAAAGATGAGCATCGGAATGACGGAACAGGGCACACAGAAGACGCTGAGCTGAAATGGCGGATTAGTGGGGTATAGCGGAATGTTGCTCAAGAATCAACAATTTTACCTCTAGCGAAAGTGAACTTCCGGCAAACAGCCCCGTTAGCTGGGCAATCCAGGACAGCAAGATACATATGCCCCACAGCATTACCAGGCGTTCCATCTCCATCGGTTGAGATGTCATGTAGTAGGCACTTGCGAGGAACAACGTTGGTCCCAGTATCTGGAAAGAGTTTGGGGTGAAAATGAACAAATTGCGAATTCCACACCAAATTGGACAAATAAACGCGTTTTCATTTATTAAAAAATGTGTGCAAAAAGCGCAAGATTCCATCTAATTGTAATGATGCCTTCGGTGCACTTATTTCTTATGATGCAAGCAATAAGAGCTCTGAAGGCTCCAAAACAATTTGACTGACACGTGCACTTTTATCACACTTTCTACAATTTTGGGGCAGTCAAGTTTCAGATGCAATCAGCAATAATAACTTTTGCTTCTCATTGGCCTAGCTAAAGGGGGTGCTAAGGGGGCCAGGCTCCCTCCAAAATTATCTAGTGTTTTTTGACTCACCGGTATTTTGTCATGCTTGTCAAGTTCGACGTTACTATTTAACAGTGATTAATGAATATGGACCACAAACAACGATTTTTTTTAAAGTCTTTTATGATGTTACCTTATTTTATATTCTGGACTAGAAGAAACAATTTTGATAAATCATTTAATCAATGGCATGATAAGACGCCTTCAGGCTCTACAAATTGGCCCAAGGATTTTTCTTAAACTTCTGGAAACATCATAAAACTTCAAGGACTTCTAGGAAGTTCAGGGAACATATCAGAAATTGAGGAAACATAGTAAATAGAAATTCTGGGAACTTCATAGATCTTCAGAAAAAAATCGTAAAAAACCGGAAAGTTCTGCAAACTCCGTAGAAGCGGAAAATGTATTTAAGTTTGAGGAGCTTCCTAGAAGATAAGGGCACATTATTTTATTTCAGGGAAGCTCATTATTGATCGGGAACCTCTATATAATTTCAGGGCACATTTTTGAGGCCTCATGGTCTTGTAATAGTCGTAGAAATTACGTACAAATTCAAGAAATTCCGTTCGGGGAGCTTCGCGGAAAATCAACGAGAAACGTAGAAGTGCAGCAAACTTAATTGAAGTTTTACAAATTTGGTAGCATTTTGAGGAGCTGCGTAAAACTTCATATAAGTGAAGGGAATTTTAAAAAGTTCAGTGATTTTTTTAGAAGGTCTAAAAATGGTTGAATCAACTTCTAAGAACTTCAGGGATTTTCGCTTCAGTTTAGGGAACTTAGTTGCAGTTTGTCGGAGATCTTACTTCGAAAAAGCTCCATGAACTTCTTGGGTTAAATTTCATGGAACTTTCCAGATGTTCAAGAATATTTGTCTATGTCTTAGGCATCTTTCCAGAAGTTAAAACATGTTCAGAGATCTTCGTAGAATTAAGAGAGATGGAAAAAAAATGGAATTTGTAATAAATTCAGGGAACTTCGTTGGAGTTGAGGAAATTTTGTAAAACTTAAGGGAGTTTTGTAGATGTTCAAGAAACGTTGCATAAGTTACAGGGTATTCTTTCAGACATCCATCCTAGACACCAGGAAATATTCAAAAGATATATAAATGGACATATTAGTAAAGTTCTCTGGATATTTTTCCAAGACTTCAGGTTGGTCAAGTTCTGATGATCTCGATAAACAGTTGGAAAAATGTACATATTCTTTCAAGACTAATGGTTGTTCACGAAGTATTCAAAGCTAAAGGGTGATACGGTCAAAATTTGGTCAATATCAACTTGACGTATTTCTTTCAATTTTGCATTTAAAAAACCTGAACACCCCTCATTTTGAAGGTGTGTGTGTGTAGAATTTTGCTCCTATTTTGATTTTGGAATTCACTCTTCAGTTGTCAAAATGCCGTCCAAGCAAGAAGAGCAGCGTATCAAAATTTTGCTCGCGCATCGCAAAAATCCGAGCTACTCGCACGCAAAGTTGGCAAAATCGCTAAAAGTTGCCAAATCAACCGTTACAAATGTAATTAAAGTGTTTGGGGAACGTTTGTCGACAGCCAGGAAGTCTGGATCGGGGGGAAATCGAAAACCGGAAGCCGCTGAGACGACAAAGAGAGTTGCCGGTAGTTTCAAGCGAAACCCTAACCTCTCTCTCCGAGATGCCGCAAATAAGCTGGGTGTATCGTCTACAACCGTGCATCGAGCCAAAAAACGAGCCGGACTATCGACTTACAAGAAGGTAGTGACTCCAAATCGCGATGATAAACAAAATACGACGGCCAAAGCGCGATCCCGGATTTTTTAAATAAACGATTTCACCGATTTACACGCGTTTTCCCTTGACTAAATTTTGACCGTATCACCCTTTAATTGAATCTGGTAGAATCTTGAATGATGTATCTAGATGTTATAGACATGTTTGTACATTATCTATAGGGAAGACCCGGTGGTGATTTAGCTATTTTGACAAGCATTAGCACTCCAGCAGCTGAACTCCGGGCATACATTTCAACGAAGAGGTGAAAATTTCTAAATATTCCTAATCGATATTTTTCATGTTTTCCTGATTTTTGGAGTAATGTTGGTGTTAGAAATATTTATGTTCAAGATATTTTGACAGGTCTAAAAGATTTGAATGCCACTAAAGGCTCAGGACCAGATGAAGTCCCACCAGCCTTTATGAAAAATTTAGCAATTGAGCTCACAACCTGCTGAATAATATGTCACTTTACTCTGGTGCATTCCCGCAGGAATGGAAAAAATCGTTTTTAATACTCATTTATAAATCTGGTAAAAAATCTGATATCCGAAATTATCGTGGGATTGCCATCATCTCGTGCATTCCTAAACTATTCAAATCAATCACAAATAAAAATATCTTCAGCAAAATAAAACATAGAATAACAAATGTACAACACGGCTTTTTTAAAAGGTCGTTCTACCACAACAAACCTCCTGGAATTTGTTGATTACACATTAACTGCAATGGACAAGGGAAACCAAATAGAAGCACTTTACACTGACTTCAGTGAAGCGTTCGATAGATTTGAAATTGCAATGTTGAATTAAAAATTAGAAAAAAATGGGAATTAAGTCATATTTAACGGACCGTCAGCAAATTGTATGATTCAGCGAGAAAAAATCTAACCCAATTCAAGTCACGTCAGGAGTTCCACAGGGCTCGCATTTGGGACCCCTTCTTTTCATTTTGTACGTTAATGATATCTCTCTTACTTTGAAAAATCTCATAGTGCTTATTTATGCTGATGACATGAAACTATTTTTAGAGATAAGAAATTATGATGATATGAATACGTTTCATGTTTTTATACGTGGTATTGTAAAAGTTTTTTGGAATTAAATGTTAAAGAATGTTACTTACTTACAGTAGAAAACTAATGAAACCAGATATTCGTATTACATAAGGTAGTAAAATTGTTCAAAGTTGTGATAAAATAAGAGATTTAGGAGTTATTCTTGATTCTAAATTAACATTTGTGTATAAGACAATAATACATAGAGCAAGCAATATGCTTAATTTAATTAGGCGTTTTGGTTTCCACTCGAACGATCATTACACAATTAAAACACTATATGTTGCCTATGTGAGGCCAATATTAGAATATTGCAGTGTCACCTTATATGAAAAGGCATGAAGAACGAATAGAGTCAATCCAAAGGCAATTTATATTATATGCACTACGTAAATTGGGATGGACAGAATTTCCTCTCCCATCTTTGAAGCTCGTGGCTTGTTAATCAACATTCAGTCATTGAAAGAGCGTCGGGATTATGCTATGGTCTCTTCCGTGAACAATATTGCTTCGCAACGCATTGATTCAGCTTATTTATTATCAAGACTTAATTTTTATGTACCTTCTCGTCAATTGCGTAATCGACATTTGTTCGCGGCAGATCATCACCGCACTAAGTAGGGGAAATGACGGCTTCGGCATGACAGACTATTTTCGGCAACCCAAATTTAAACACTATTTTCACTGGATTTTCTTACGAAAACACTTCGCTGAATGCATGCAAACGATTCTTTATGCTTTCAGCTTCAATTTGACTATATTTTTACCACTGAGAAAAAGCAATCTAGCAAGGTTTTCTTGAAATGCAACACACGCTCTACAAATTGTAGCTGATTTCGAGTTGCCGATAATAGAACAGCAGATTTACATGCAGTTCAAATGGAACGGTTGCCGAAAAAAAACTGCTTGCCGACAATACTCGCTCTCACTAGAGAAGATTGGAGCTTTGTAAAAGCGTTTCAAAACAGTTTTTGACAATTCTTTCGACTGAAATTGTTAGAGCAGCTGGCAGCAAAAGATTGTAAACAAACCAATACTGCATATGTGTGCGTTCCATAGAGAAAAAGGCTATAGAAAGAAGGTCACTGCTTAGGTTGCCGAGAATACGTAAATTCCCTTACGTGAAATATGGACCGATAAATCAGATGATGTCTGTTTATAATGTACGCTGTGAAATGATTGACCTAAATATGCCGCCCCTAAAACTGAAAACAATATTTCCAAACACTGCGAAATCATAGATCATTGTTCATAGATTGTTAATATGTAGTCTACGATTTGATTGATTTACGAATAAATGAATAAGTAAATAAAATCTCACGCTAGCGAATCAAACTACGAAAGATCTTTTTTGATCTCTTGCATCTAAATCCATCTACTCGCATCGTTGTCCACCTTTTTGCAGGAAATCTTCAAAATCTTCATCAATTTTTTTCTATCTACTAAGCGTGCGAGCATCGAACAACAGCAAAGCAAAACAAAAATCTGCATCTTCTATAAAGTCGGAGTGCTGTTTTATGAATATCGCACGCTATGTTTAAAGGCGACTTTTATTCAACGGTAAAAATTTGATTTGTTTCATTTTTATGTTTTTTTTAAATGTAAAAATACGTTTTGATTTAAAAAAAAATATTGGAAAAAGATGTCGCAAATCTAAAAGCAGCAATTTTTTCCTCTAGTTTACGTGTAAAAACATTTTTTCTGTGTTGTCATGGAAAAAAGTTGGACTAAAAAAACCGCAAAAATCAACAATTTGTTCGTATTATATTTTCTCTCAAGTTCAGACGCAATAACAGCTATCAAGTGAAGGCCACACATTCAAGCCTTCAAACAAGTTGTTGTCCATGATTTTTCCAAGGACCACATAGTGAGAACC